CACACTGATGATCTGATACTGAACACACAGGTAAACAAAAGCAGGTTCTTCCCACACTGGGGACGGCACGAACCCTCCACCCTCAATGTGGCAGAAATGCTTCAGGTTTTCCCTCGGATTCCCTTCACATCACTGCCTCAGGAAGCATGGGATCTGGCACCAGTGTGGCAACCATTTAGCATTTGCTGATACCTAGTTAGGGCAGGGACGTTCTGGGCTGACGGAGCACGGGAGGAGCCTGGCATCTGCTCCAGGACATCTGCAAAACCAAATCCACGCCTCAAAAGTTTCAAGAGAATTCTACCTGTAGACATCTGTACTATCAGCTACATTTGCAAAGGTAGGATAAAATCAGAAAACTTTCCATCCTCAGGCCTCACTATGTATAATAAAATGTTCTTTAATAATGATTATTATTTCATGATAAATACGTTAAGATTATAATTTTATAATTACAAAATATTCGGCACAGGTTTCACACGGCGCCCTTCACTTCTGAAGCAGCGTAGGTTTTGCTTATTTGAGATTTGCAAAAAAATATTATTTTGACCTGGAAATTCAAGTATAGAGTGAGGAAAGCCATGCTAAGATACAGAGCTGATTGAAAAGGCATTGTTAAAAACTCATGGTGGGGTCAAGCAAACCTCAGGAAAAGTCACTGTTTTTCAATTTAATTGTGAACATCCTACTTCTGTTACTCATGAGGACATCAATAACTGAAGATTAAACTCACCTAGAGGAAGAAGGGTCTCCTAAAGCCCCAGGGAATGAGCCAAGGCGTGGCCTGTGCTCTTTGTCAGAACCCAGCCTCCTGCCCCGGGGTAAGCAGTCAGGTGCATTTGGGACTGGCAGACCCGCCAGCCCCGTCATCTGAGCTCCCTCCGAGCGCAGCACTGGCCACCACACTGCCACTGCATTCGTAATCGCTGGCTAATGGGGCAGCAGCCACCGAGATGGGCACTCAGCGGCTCTGTTTACAGGAGGTCCTCGTGGCCCCGATGCATGCTTTCCTCCGGGTTTGGTTCCAAAGGCCTCCAAGTACACAAGGAAGCCTGCTGGGTATTGTGAAATAAACCATCAAAAGAGAACTTGCTGAAAATTCTGCGGGAGTCTCTGCCCTCACGTCGGGGAAGGGAGAGTGGGCTGGCAGAATACTAAACTCGCCGCTCGAAGATGATCAAAGCCTCAAGGAAATGGATGCAGCATTCAAAGAGACTCGGAGAGAAAAGGAGGGGAACATCTTCTAATCATCTAACAACTTATTTTTGGCACAGTTTTTACCCAATCACTTTCCACAGAAATAGGACACCTACATAAAAAAAAAACATGAAGAATACTGGTACCAAAACTCACAATTCTTCTGTGTCTTCACATTCTCCTTGGTGTGTGTGTGTCTACATGTGTGTATAAATATATACATACATACACACATATATGCATATATATGACAGGCTATGCTAATTTAAAAAAAAGAATGAAAGTCAATAAAATTGGCTTTTTAGATAATGAAGTGCAGAATTAATCCAAATATATGTTTTATATATTTGGAAGAAAAAACATTTACTAAAACAATAGTGAAAAATTTGGTGAGAGCAGTCTGTTAAACGACATTTAAGAATATATTTCAGTTACTCTGAAAGTCAATAAACCCAATTTTTGCAGCGATCTGAGCAAATTAAACTTGCCTGGATTATCTGATGGGGTTGATATCTTGGTAAGTGTCAAAAATGTAAGCGTCTGTCAAAAAAGACTTGCTTTCCCAGTAGGTAAGGCAAACCAAAATCTCACACACTCATGCAAACAAAGAAAGCTCTAAAATCCTGACCCTGTCCAGGAAACCCTTCTATTTTGAGTAAGAACAGGTAAGCATGTTTATAGGTGTTTGCATTAGAAGCTAATAATTCAGCCTCCTTACTGCTTCGAAACTATTTTAAGGAAAGCTTTCTTACTATCCAGGAACTCGACACGGGCCCCAGTGGCCCCAGGCCCAGGCTCTGACTCACACACACAGGGGCTGTGCAGGCGTGTGATCGGGGCTGAGACGGACAAATGCTTTAGCAGAGGCCAGCAACACGAGGGCCTCCCAGGCCACAATGGAAGCTCCTTGCAAGGACACAAATCTGGCTGCTGTTTAACTGGGGACATGGGGATGCGCCTTTCGGAGCCCCGGGGAGGAAGGAGCACCACAACCTGAGGCTACCTGTGCGCCCCAGAATACAACCTTCAGGCACCTATCTCCTCCACTCCACCGGAGCCTCTCTGCACCCCACCTTCCTTTCCCCAGGGAAGAACAGGAGTTCTTTTATTTCAAGGGTAACTTCATATTCTGATATTAATAAAACTTATTATATTGCCACCTCCCATTCTCTCTCTCTTAGGTTACTTATTTTAGCCTGACTTACACAATAATCTTTTTATTTTTCAGAAGCTTCAAGAAAGTGAATTGAGTAGTTCCATCATGTCCCCATAAAATAAAGCATGATATCAAAGGGCTCCATTTTCCTTGTAACCCAGTGATGAGAACTGCAATGCACAACTTTGCTGTGACCACAGAATCGGCAGAGTACGCAGGTTCAGCGAGCCACAGTAAGCACACTGGTGCAACAAGAGCCTTTCCTGAAGTGTGTTTTATGTTTGCAACATTTTAAAAAACTTCTCAAACAGATCTTTAAACTTCACGGGGGACTCCTGACTCTGATAGGAAACCCAAGCGAGATATGGATACATTAATGAATTAACACCTGCTTCATTTACCAGAGTAAATGTCTTCTCCTTGTAACCGCAATTGTCTGAGTCCTTAATACATTACTCAGCTACATTCAAAGCGAAGTCACACAATCCCCATCCTCATCACTGAGTCCTGCTCTGCTAAAGCACAAACCACAGCACAACGGCTCAGCAACTAGAACTTTCTCACCGGGAAACATTCCGCTGTGACGAGGCAAACCCCACTTTTAATCAAAGTACTTCCCCAAAGGGTATTTTGTGGTGATTTCAAAGCTCGATCCACCAAGAAGTCTTTATACTTATTTCATTTCCAAATTTTCCTACGTCACATTTTTAAAGAAAAAAGTTTTATTTTTTTCCTTTTTATTAATCTGGATTGAAGAAAAGCACACATTTCATTTATTGTCTGGATTACAGATTCTTATTAAACAAACCAGAGCTCATTATAAAATCAATATCAACTTAACCACCATGCCCTCAGGAGGAACAGCAAAAAGGTCACTCCAAGAAATTCAAACAATTTTCCTGCTGGAAGGGCATGATTTTAATTACAGATACTATTAATTAGAGCTGTCACTGGGAAGGCTTTTTTTTTTTTTTCCCGTTAATTATCACAAACTCAGTCCTAAGTAGGCATTTTCAACCTGCAGTTTTTTTTTTTTAAATTAGTCATTTCTGCATGCAAGTCCAACCTTTCCATTCTATCAATATTTTATATTTGAATTTCAAAGTATATCAAAGGGTGCCATGCTTTCTAAAAATCTCTGCCTGTATGATCTTCCGTCTCTCACACATGGAACAGAACTGGTGTGATAATTTATTTATGACCGGCACAGACTTGGCCTGAAGACACGGCATCCTGCATTGAAGGTCTTGCTCAATGGAATTTCTGGGTAAATTCTTACTCGTTTTTGTGACATTTTTTTCAGGCCGCTTCTTCAAAAGTGATTTTCCTTTTGCTTTGAAGCAAAGCTACGCACTGCAACTGAAATGCCATCCTCAACACATTTGAAGTTGCCATTTCTTTATAAGAAAAAGATCGTCCTGACCGGGTTGGTGACCCTCTCCAGAAAACTAGAGGCTTCCTCCATTCAATGGCAATACCAGGAATTTTGAAATGGGAGGAAAAGCTATCTTCGGGTCTCTTTAAAGCAAAGAGATCCTGCAAATTCCTTGTGTGGGGAAGGGTCTTGAGAGCTTGCAGAGCACAGGAAAGCCAGCTCCAAGGAGCTCCGGGGGCGGAGGGTGTGGTGCTGGAGGGCACCTTTTGGAGAGAGCTTGAGAGCCCACCCATGTAACTCTGATGATGGAATAGTAATATTTACTTTACATGCGATTGTAAAAATGATGAATTATTTACAGGACATATTACACACTGCACTCATGTGACTAGAGGAAACGAAGAATCTGCCCAGTGAGGCAACCTCGCACACATGTGCTGACCAAACTTTTAAAACAGGGCTTAAGAAGTCATCTAACCTTCCCAAAGGGAAATATCTTCTTGGAATTAAACGATATTTTATATGCAAAGGAATCAAATGCTTTGACTGGTATAAATATTCTGGGCTTGTACTGCTGATAAAACTGAAGGCCTCTGTTCATTACAGAACAATATTAAATTTGAAATTTGTGCTACAGAACTTCCAAAAACTCTGTGGTTTTTAAAAATGCCCGACCTGGGCTGAACTTGCCTTCCCTGCATCCTCCCTGGTTTCCAGCTCATTTCCAGGTATGTCTGGGGTGCCTCTAGAGAGAGTGTCCCTCACGGGGACATGCGTGGGTCACCTCCCTCTGGTCAGCATTAGGTTTCACCGTACAGGGTAACAACGCAAAGTGGCACCCCAGCAGGTCAAAGGAACTTTTCCTGTAAGACCCTGAGGAAGCCGGTGAGTTTAGAGACATCTTCAGACATCTGCACCCCAACAGATCCTGCAGCCCTGGTGCTTTTCATTAGCAGTGGCCACACTGTGATAACAGATAACACGCCATTCGTGTACTGCACTTTTCCCAAACTTCTAATTAACAACACATTTCAGAGTGAACATGAGACTATCCAAGAAGAGCAGGTTAAAACAGCGCTGTCCTACTGCAGCTGCATGAGAGGAATTTACATGAATGCTGATGAGCAGTTCCAAACTGTCATCACAGAAGACCCCTAACTATGAATAAATGAGCAACTGCTGGGAATGGAGGAGGGACCAGAGATGAATGTGATCATCGGTCTGCTCAACTGAGAAATCCAATATATCACTTTTTAAAAAGTCTCCTCTTACCTGGTAAGCGGCAGTGGCATCTGCACCCGGGTCGCCCCCCAGTCCCGACAGCTTCTCCTTCAGCCTGTGCTGAGAGCTATGGCGGAGGCAGTAGATGAGGCCAGAGGCCAGGAGGACGCCCAGAATGCAGGCGAGGGAGACCAGGGTGAGCGCGATGAACTTGGTGGAGTCTTCTTGCTCCGCCTGAGGTGGCAGGAACTTGAACTTGCTTTTCTGCGGAACAAGGAGAGGGGCATGTTAGCTCCTGACACAGCATGACCTCCTAAAAACACATCTCCAAATGCAGCTTGAAAGTGGAAAGCTCAGCCCCACGGGATGCTGTGTCGGTGCTGGAGCCACAATGGGAGGGCCTGCAGAACAGCACCCGTCAGAGCAGAAGTCATTTGAAAACAGCACATCGTGGATTGCAGCGTGTTCAAGAGGAGAGTCAGTGACATCACTTTTCCCTCAGCTGCGGCTATTTTTCAAATTTGTGTAAAGCATTTGCCAGCTAATTTGCTACCTCATGTAAAATAAAGTATCCATCCCTTCTTTTAACAGGGCATAGCAGTTTGTCCAGAGCTTGCACAATGAGTGTGGGGGGTACTGGGGGAGGCCAGGCAGGCGGAGGAGGAGGGGGACAGGCCTGCCTGGACCGTTCTGCGGCTTCAGGTAAGCCACACAAGTCCGGCACATCTTCAGCAACAAAGGAGCGTGGGGCTGCCTCTGTGCATCTTCAGGTGAACATTCTCCCTGTCCCGTCAGGGACTGGATCCACCTGCCTTGAAAGGCGAGCACGGGTGGAATCCACCGATTCCAGTGACTCTAGGAGAGGCCTGGCCCAGACACAGCGCTTGGCACCTAAGTGCTTTTCCTTGCAGGGCGCTGCAGGGGCTTTGCAAGTTCACGTCGCAGCGAGGAAACTCCTTCAGATTCGCACTGCTTCTTTCCGGGAGGAGGTAGAAAGGCCTTTTGGTGCATCTCACTTGTCTCCACGTGCAAATAGCTGCACGGCTGTCCCCTCATTAGCTTCATTAGAAGGTATATTAGCAACAATTAAGGACGCGCAGGAAAATGGGAAGGCCGCCCTGCAGACCCGCGCCCTCCACAATTACTCGGGATGAATGGGGGAGCACGCCCGGCCTCGGTCCTGGCTGCTACAAGATGAGAACAATTAGCAAACTCCTTTCCACCACCTAATTTCGCGTGGTAACAAAATGGATTTTTCCCCATGAATGCCCGGCCGGCCTATTCATTATCTCTCTTCTATTAGTAATTTTCTGCTCCGTATTCAGCCGCCCAGCTCTTCACTTCCTCCCGTCTCCCAGCGTACACAGTGCCTCTTATGTCAGGCCCGGCCCGTTTTTATCTTGTAATCATAAAGGCCACCAAAGCAATTATCGCCGGTCTTGACTGGAAAAGCTGGTCATTAATTAGCCTCCTTTTGCCTTCGGTGCAGCGGATTAGCTGGTGCTGGGACTGAGTTAATGGAAACGCGGGTTAAATGAGAAAAGACGCCGGATTTTCCTGCCTGGATGCGCCGCGCGCTCGGAGGAGGACCGCGAGGTTCGCGAGCCGCGGGAGGTGGCGGAGCCCGGGAGAAGGAAGGAGGGAGGGAGGGAGCGGGGGAGGCGCGGGGTGCGGGGAGGGGTGCGGGGAGGCACCCGCCAAGGCGAGGCGAGGCGGGGCGGGGGCCGAGAGAACGGCCCGAACCCTGCTTGGCCCGGACCCTGCAGCTGCCGCTGGGTTGCGGCGCGCCCGGTCGCCCTCCGCGTGGAGACCCCGTCCTCCGCCCTCCCTCCCTCCCTCCGCGTCTCCTCTCCTCTCCCCTCCCTCTCCCTCCGGCCCACACAGCCTCTTCAAGAAAGAAGTCACTCCAGAGCCCGACGACCCACCCCAGAGGCGGCCGGAGTCCGCCCACCGGGTCCCTGCGCACCCCCTCCCCGCCCCGCCCCCCGCGCGGAGCCGGTTCGCTAAACCCAAGGCGCCCGCCGCGCGCCGCCTTCCACGGCCGGGGTCTCCTCGGCCCCCGCGCGGTCGCTGGGTCTCCTGGTGGGCGGCGGCCCCTCCCTGTGCCCTTCCCGGCGGCGCGAGGGACCGCGGAACGCGCGGGCCGGCGGGGACCCAGGCGGGGAGCAGCGGCCGCGACGCCGAATCCCCGCGGCGCCGGGACTGAGGCCGGGTCCGAGTTCGCCCGAGCTGCACCTGTGCGGGAGGGCGTTTCCCGGGGGCTGCCTTCCGCCCGCGACCCTCGCCTCCCGCAGGTCCCGCCCCGCCTCTGCGGACAGAACAGGAACAACAAAGGAAGCGGCGCGACCGGCGGAGGGGGCGCCCGCCGCCCTCCCGCCCCCATCCCGGCCAGGCCAGCGCTCACGTCGCGCCTCCCCCTCAGCCCCAGCCCCAGCGCGCAGGCGACTCGCGGCCTCGCTGTCCACGTGGACGACGGCGCCCGGGAACCCGGACTTCTCGAACCTTCCTGCCCCGCGACGCAAACGAGGCCCACACGCGTGCAGTGACCACCCTGGCTCCGAGGGGCCCGCGGTGTGTGGTGGACCCGTCGGTGGCACTCAAGCAACGGCCCACGCACGCCTCATCGATCCCGGACCCTCCTAGGCTGTGGGTGCGGGTGTGCGGGGGTCCCGAGGCTCCAGCTCCCCGAGGAAGGGGCACAGGCGCTGGCCTCTGTCCCTCGGGCCGGGTGAGGGCGCTGGGCGCGCGGGGGCCGGAGAAGGAGGACGAGGACTGGCCTGCCTGTGGCGCGAGGGACCCTGGACCCGCGGAGGCTCTTCCTAGGGAGGCGGGGGCCGCGCGCCGGGCTTTCAGGCCAGACACCTGCTGTCGCCGGGACCCTCGATGCGCTGGGCCCGCAGGGGACCGGAACGGAGCCTGCTTTCTAGGCCTCTCCGGGCGCGCTGGGATTTACTCAAAGGTCAAAGAAAAATGTCAGGGAGAGCGACTGCCCAGAGAGCTCCTGGCCGGCTCCCGGGTCCCCGCTGGGTCCCAGGCATTCCCGGAGGAGAAGGAAGGAGGCCTAGTCACTGATCTCGCCCAGCTCCCCCTGCCTGGGCCTGCGCTGGCCCCGCACAGAAGGTGGCCGCGTCCCCAGGCTGGGAGGGAGCCGCCCCAGGCCCACGGCCTCCGGCAGGTCCACTGGGAGGCCCCCTCTGCAGCCCCGGAGAGGACGGGGAAGGCCCGGTGGCGGCAGCGCGGGGCTGTGGGGCCTGGACAGCCGAGGGGTCAGCGCTGCGGCTGCGGGCGAGGATGGGTCTGGCTGCGAGGGAGGGTGCCACGTTGGACCGACTGGGTCCGACTAGCCTGAGGCAGAAGTCGCCAGATCCCAGGGACCGGCTGGGAAACCCGCCTCCCGACCGGCGCGTGGGCACCGCCGAAGAAACTGAAGAAAGGGGTCTTCCCTCCACGCCCAGGACGGTTCCCAGTGCTGAGCTGCAGGTCAGGTCTTAGGAATCCCGGAAGAAACGAAGATTTAAAGAAATTCAATTTTTTTTAAATGAGGGAGTGGACTGCCCTGCTGGTATAGGGATTGAGTTTCAGTAACTTTACCATGACTGGACTTTCTTCCTTTTTGTGGAGTTACATAAAAACATCTTAAAACTCCTGCTGGCCATGACCTTTAAAAGAAATGAGTCTGCTACTGGTTTAAAAGCGAGTTTGAGGCGAAGTCTTGCCCCAGGTGTGGCTTTGGTGGGCCGAAGCACCGTCTCCCTCAAGGGCACCGGCCCCCCAAGGCTGAACCACGCCCCCCCCCCCAAGAGAGCCCAGACTAATTAGAGACGTCTTATCAGTCTTGAGTTGAAATGGAAAGAAAATGATGTTTAAATATTTATGACTTTGACATTTACAGTCAGGCATCTTTTAAAAGCAGAACAGCCCCCTCTGTACAGCGGCAGCTCGATTTACTGAAAGTTTGGAACAGAAGAAGTGAGGAGGAGGAGGAGGATAGAGGAGGCCAGAGACACAGGCTGCAGGGGGCAAATTCGTGTCCCCAGGTGCGGGAGAGGCACCGATAGGCACACTTCAGTGCTACATTCTTAGATGCAGGAATAGCATGATTTTTAAAAATGATCACGAGTGATTAAGTCAATTTTTATAGCAGGTTGGATTTATCTTGAGAGTAAGTTGAAGTACAATATTGCATATTTCTTTCTCTCAACCATCTGCACCTGCAACTCCTCAAATTTAGAATATACAGTATTGAAAAAGTTGTGATTCAAAATAACTATATGACCACAGAGACAATCTGTGGAGCTGGCTTAGCAATCAGAATCTGCAGACACTGTCCTGACCAATTTAAATTATTTTGATGGTACCCATAAGTGGAGGTGCATGGGGTGTCCATCACATGCCCTTCTGAACCATTGATGGGAAAATGCCTTCAAAACCTTTTTTAGCTGTCCATGTGGTCAGCTAAAAAGAAAAGAAAAGGAAAAAAAAAAAGAACATTCTATACCCAAACTCAATTGTGAAAGCTGATGCAGCCACACAAACAACAAACTTTATGGTAAATATGTGTTGGCAGGTTGCCAGATTCAGTCCTTTTCCAAGGTTGGGTGATGTAACCAGTTAACAGGAGCAGCTCATTTTGTGAGTCACGGATGTGCAGTGGTGTTAAAATATGTTCGTGCCATAAAGACCAAGGACACAGGTGCTCAGTGCCAGTTAAGGTTAAACTTCCAACATTGTTGATGCTTTCATTTGTATCTAAGGAATCAGATTTGAGTCGCAGCCTCATCCTACGTTTGTCTGCATTTATGTTACTAAATTATAAAGATCTTTTTTCTCTTAAAACTTAAAAGTCAGTTTTAGAGACCATTTCTGAGTGCTGTAACAAGTTTACCTTTGGTTTGCTGGATGAATCCTCTAAGAATTATTTGGAAATTTCATTCTAAATTTACTAAAATGTATTACTAAAATATAATAACTATCATTTTACAGCTGATTAACGTTTGTAAGTTTTCAGGCCATACCAAGTGATCCAACTTAAAAACATGGGGGAGGGGGTGTCTTAAAATATTTTAAAAGTATTTTTTAAAGCTGTTAACTGAACTATTTTTAATTTGGAATTTGCCACAGGATTCTAATAAATGAGAGAAGTCAGGCGGAAATAATCAGGTATTAATTCTCTGCATTACAAAATCTTTTCAGAACCTATTATCAGAGCAAGAGGCACTTCGGTCTGAATTCAGGGTGGGAGAAGCCCTTTGTGCAACTGAAAG